GAGGAACCCTCCGGAACGCGCCGCCCCCGGGCCACGCCTTATCCTTCTCCTCCACGTCCCTCTTTTTCCTTTTTTCGTGCCCCCGCATGTCCCCGGGCAACCCCCGCCGTCCCCGGCGGTTCTCAATGCCTGTACTGCTGCTCGAGCTCCCTTCGCAGCCTCTTCGCAGCAGTCTCACCACCGCCGCCGCCGCCACCGCCACCACCACCACCGCCGCCACCGCCGCCGCCGCCGCCGCCACCGCCGCTGCCACCGTCAGCTTCCGCATCGCTGCAACCGTCCTCACCCTCGGCGACGACGCCCTCGACCTCCTCCTGCCGCCGCTTCGCCGTCGCCATCTCCGCCGCGTGCTTCTTCCGCCACTTCGTCCGCCGATTCTGGAACCATACCTGAAAATCCGAAAACAGACACTTATGTTAACAGGTCCATAGATTAAATCGTGATTTTAAATCTCCGATGCATTCGTTAAGCCCAAGTCCGATCTCCAATTTCATCGTTCTTCGAAAATTATAATTTTAAAATGCTCATTGAATATTCATGTTGCAGTTTTAGTTATAAAGCGATAAATGTAAAATAAGGTAAAAAGATTTGTCCACAATGATATTTTTGAAACCGTGTGTAATACGTAACACAATTGCTACAATAATATACAACAAGATGCATCGGAAGTTTTCAAATTAACTTTCTTGGCAATTATTTTGTCATAGTAATCGAATTCATTCTAAAAAGTTTCCAACGTTCAATTTGATGATCATAGTTTCTTTTAAATAATTTTTTTCTCTTACAAGTTCAAGCAAGTTTTAAACGAATACAAGTTGCACATTTTCAGGTATGTTAATCCCATTTTCGAAGAACGAATTAACTCTCGAAATAAAAGTCCTTATTACGAGGTAACCTTTCGATGCGAATTGACCGGCGAATTATTGAAAGAGCCGACTCTCGACATCTTTAACATCACCCACCCCGTGGAGTCCATTCGACCTCTCTCGATTAATACGCCGGCCTCGACTCTAGTGGGCGTCTATAACATTTGAATTAACGGGCAAAGGTCCCGGAGAAAATTCATCGGCGACTGGCCTCCCGCGGGGACCGGAGGGAGTCGGAAACGGCGCTAACTTAAGGTGCCCCTCTGCACCTATAAAGCTCGAGATACACAGTAGGAGTCTGTGTCCCCGCAACAATGTATTTAATTAACGTAACGGGTGTCAGGGGAGCACGGGGAGCTTCACCGTAGCGCGATTGCACCCACAAACCACCCCCGATCCATGCCTGCGTGTGGCCCCCGCTAAACTCCTCCTCTTCCTCCTCGTCCTCGTCCTCCCTCCTCCAACCACCCTCGTTGCCGCTACCGCCGCTCTTCCGTATCCAACCCCAATCCGCAGGCTTGTTCAATGGCCGCCAAGTCGAGAGCTTAAATTAAAGATATAAGCGTCCCGGCGAGCGAGCGCGGGCGCGAAGCGGTAAACGAATTAAAAAGTAAACGGCCGGCCGTAAAAGTTAATGGTTGTTCGGATGAAAATTAAAATACTCGAGGAATTAAGATAACGGAGAGGCAGGCGAATGGACAATCTGCAGGGATTGACTGCAGCCAAATGCCGGACGTAAAAAAGCAGTTCGGCTCGGCAACGAAAATCCAATTTGATTTCATGTTGGTCTTCAGAAGAAGAGAGAGAGAGAGAGAGAGAGAGAGAGAGAGAGAGAGAGAG